AACCAGGGAGTGTAAGGTTTGATTATAGTCCTTTAAATAATGTTTTTTGAAAGTGTTTTCTTGTGTGACAAGTCAGTTAGCTTCTTTTGGTCTCACTTTCCTCATTTAATAGAGGAATTTAGCACTAATAAAGAATCTATAACAGGTGATCTCATATCTTGCAGAGTGTAACAAACAAGTCTCAGTGCTGAGTTGGTTTGGAAGTCACTTGAAAAACCTGCAAGGTTGGACATCTTGAGGGGAAGGGGAAGGAGGCTTAGATGGCCACTAGTGCTGTTGGGAGGGTTCTCCACATCATCTGAACTCTTCGGGGTCACTGGGATCAAATAGCCATTCTGATTGCCATTCAAGAGTCTGTAAGTTTCACAGCACTTTCTGACAGTGCCATTTCTCATCATTTCCCAAGTGCTACCTTGATTTATCTTTCTGTAGCAGATATTTGAAGATAGGGGCCATGGCCTTAGGGCAGGGCTGGCAAAGCTCTGGAAGGTTCTGTGTGACTGTGCTACTGCACATTCTGTCCCACGGCCCAGGTGGCTAAGTTCTATTTTCATGAATGCTCAGCAGGCTCTGAAGAGGCGGACCTTTGGAGAAGACATTAGCATTCTATGGATGACAACAACTAGCACAGCAACAAGGACAGGCATATTAACATGCTAGTCTCAGCTTTGGGCGACCCCTGGCTGCTTCCTGTAGCCCACTGAACAATATCCATGGGCTGTTATGATCAGATGGGGTATAATTATCTTCAAACTTGAATCTTCTGTCTTTTTAAAATCCTGTTTGGGGGTGAGTTTTCTGGGGAGAGAAAAATATCCACTCCCTAAAAATTGTTGTTTTGCAGTATTAACTCTGGTTTTGCTGCTTCTCCGTGTTAGAAAAATCCCTGTATCTCAAGGAAGAAGTTGCAATGCATTCACAGGCCTTCCAAGGCCTTAATTATTTGGCTCACCTACATTACTCCGTCTTACTGCTTGCCACATGCCAGGTACACCTGGTCACTCACTCATCCCAAACAATTATGGCCTTGCCTACCTGGCTGTGCACACTGTTCCTGTTATCTCCAATCCCTTTCCTGATCCTGTTTGCGGAGGGGGAATGGCTATGGGAAAGCCAAGATGCTCTTCTGGGTTCCCCCAGGCAAGGTTGATCTTTCTCTGCACTTTCTGAGAGGTCCCAGTATGCCTACATCCGCTGTATTATTGCCATACTGCCCTGGGGACTCCAGCTTTAGCAAAAGTCCTTGCTCCCATGACATTTTACAAGGAGTGGGCACCATCCTGATCATCTTTGTTAAATTCTTGTATCACATTTTCCCCTTTCCTCCTCCCTCTTTCAAAGATTACAAAATAACTAGGCCAGAGTTGGAATCCAAAGGGCGTTTTACTCAATGTGTAGGCCAATCGCTGACCTGTCCCTCAGGATTGTACACAGGGGCCAAGAGAAGGAAGAAATAGGCAATATTATTGATTGGAATTTTACATTGGAAACTTCCCCCCTGCATGGACTTGTTTTTCTTTTCATTTGAAATCTGGGAGCACAGGGTTGTTTCAGACACCCCCTGTGGTAAATGGAAGGTTCCCCTAAAGTAGTGCACATCTGTACCTCCATGCTGCCCCTGAAGAATACTTATTTTCATTCCACCAAATGTGAGAATAGGGAGGTGAGAGCTTTCTTGAGAAATAAGTATGTAACAAGGGCAAAGAACTAGCAGTGTTTGCATGGAGAGTACCAGATGCTCCCTGGCTACTTAAATATTCATCCCATATAAAACAGGCATATTGTTTGGGCAAGTCTCTGAGTTATGTTCACCCTCCCTGCAAAGACTTGTGATTGACAGGAGAGGCCACACATCCCTCACATCTTAGAACTGCAGTTTGGTTATTCACGTGTTATAACTGAGCAGTAGAATCTACCTTCCAGTAAAACTTCCCTGGCTTGCAAGGAAATGCTTTGAAGTATACATTCTTGGTTTTAAGACCATTGAGTCACTGAGATGGTAAGGGACACTATTTAATATACTTACTTGGGGGTGTTTCCTGGGGAGGGGGAAGATTATATCTTGCTAAAAGTTCAAGTTCAGTGTGTCCTTACTACTTTTAAACTTATTTCTTGTTTAGCACACTGAAGAGGAGGGACTTGGGCCCATTCCTCTCAATACCTAGCACTGCTTTGTCTGCACAGCAAGCTAGGACTCACCGGGAGAAAGAGCAGAGAGAAGGTAGGAAACACCAGCTACTCCACAATTCCTAGCTTCAGGGATTCCTTATCTTCCTAGACCTCCCACCGGAACCAGAGCTAGGAGGAGGCAAAGGAACAATGTGCTTTGGATACAAAATACAAGGGGTGTGCTGATAAACTGAGTGATATAAAGAACATTTAAACACAGTGTTTTTGATTAGTTAAAATGTGGATATGTGGATCCTGCATTTTTATAGTGCTTTTGACTTTGTAAAATATTACATGAAAATAAAATATTATTTACACTGCTGAGATTACTGGTACCCCTTGAAATTTGCATCTTTGTCAAAGTCTCTCCCTGGATTTATTCTAGTGCTGAAGGGCTTCCCAGTGCATTTTCAGATCAAGCCTTATTTGCCATCACCTTCCCCCACAGGCACACTGAAGGGGGAAGTTTAGTAAGAATGTTATAGAGCAACCCCGATATTAAACGGGTTCCTGGCTGTGGGTCCAGGCAGGTTTGTGGGGTTTGGGCTGCCCCTCTCCCTGTCCTATAACAAGAATAGAATGGTGCAAGTGAACAGCCAGGAGGAAACCTTCTGATAATCAAGAAATAAAACAGCAATGCGATCTCCCACTTGTCCTTCCTTAAATACACAGATTTTAAAATATAATACCTCCAGCTGGGCTAAGGAACCAAGTCAGGCACAATGTCCACATCCTGTGTACTAGTCACCTGCGGCAATTTCCCCTAAGATCTGCATTTTCACACTCTCCTTCCCGCCGCCTTCAAGGAAGGGCTTGGAGACATCACTGCTAAACTCGGGAGAGCAGCGGTGCCTGCAAAACGGGGACCTGCCAGGTCACCCCGGGCTTCTCTGATTATCTTTTGCGACCTGTGTGCTACTTTCGGTACCGTCTTTTTCCAGGGGACACTCTCTTTCCTTGCCTTTAAGCCTTTTTAAGCCTTTAAGCCACCGGCAATGATAATCTTTTCCCGCTGAGAAGAAGCGATGCAGAGGCGAGTTTTAAATTTGACCCACACTAACCAGACTCGCCGGATAAACACTGTTTACCACGATTCCTACAAACTCCCTGACAGGATTTGGCACATGGTGAGGGCCGTGGTTTCCTTTTTCCATTTGCATCAGACCCCCCCCACCCCCCCGGGGCCCCCAGCTCGCAGGTTGCGGAGATGATCTCTTCCCAGCGCGGTCCCTGGGGTGTTATTCCAGCCAGGGCCGCGCCCGGGCCTCCGCGCTCTCGGCCCCGCCCTCCCAGGTTCGTGTCCCCAGGCGCGGGGCAGTCCCTTGCCAGGCCGCCGGCTGCGTCCCCGGCTCCCCGCGGAGGAAATTCTTCCCCAGCAGCCCAGGGTTCTCCTCACGTGATCAGCAGCCGCCGCGGCTTCCAGCAAGAGTTTAAAGGTTACGAAGGAAATTAGCGCGCACACAGCCCCCCGCCCCCCGAGGGCGCGCCTGGTTTCCCCGCGGCTCCGCCTGCAGCCGTCAGCCGGCGAAGCAGAGCCGGGGTGCCCCCCAAAAGGGGAAAACAAGGTCCAAAGTAAATGTGAAGTCACTTTGTAAAAAATAAACACACAATCCGAGTCAGGGACCTACCAAGCACTCACTTATCAACAAGTTCCCTTTGAGCCCGTGAAGTCCAGGGGTGATCCCAAGGGGCAGAGCGCCCCCAAAGAAAGGGGAGCGAGAATAACTAAAAACTGCAACGAGCCCTGCACGCCCTACCCTCTCCCTCCCCCTTCCCCGAGGCAGAGCATCGGGACAGAATGACAAACCGACCGACCAATGCTCGGCCGGCTGCTCTCGCCAGCCGCGGCCCGAATGGGGGGGTGGGGCTGGGGGAGGGTCCCGAGTCCAGGGCCCCGAGACACCCACCGCGCTCCGGACCCGGGCGCTAAAGACACAGTTGGTCGCGGGGCGCCGGGGAAATTCGCTGCCCGCTGGTCGTCGGGCGCAGACTGAAGACCCGCCTGCAGCCCCCCGGCTCGCACCCTCGCCCCGACGCCGCCGCTCCCGGGCCCGCGCGGGGTCCCGATCCGGCTCCCCAGCCGGCTGCCCCGACCCGGCCAGGCTCGCCGGCTCTGGGTCGTGCTTTCCTCGGCTCCCTTGGCCCGTATTGCTCCCCCAACCGGCAAAACTTTCTATTTCCCTAAACACAGGAGCGCGCGCGAGCGCGCGTGCACACACTCACACTCACACACACACACACACACTCTCACACACACACTCACACACACACACACTGACGTCTTTTGCGCATTTCCTGCATTAGAGGGAGGGAGACTCGCCCGCACACCGACCGAGGGAGAGCAGCCCGCGGGGAGCGGGCGGGCGCGGGGAGCCAGCAGCCGCCGGGAGCCGGGACGCGGGGCGCGCGGGGAGCGGGGAGCGCGGAGCGCGGAGGGCGGGCGCCGGCGCCCGGGAGGTGGGGCCGCGGGAGTCGCAGACCCGGCCCCGCCGCCGCGCTGCGCACCGCCCCGTGCCGGCCTGCGCCCCGAGCCGAGCCGCGGCCACCGACTCCCGCGCCCGCGCGGATGTGAGGCTCCGGGCTCCTGGCGCCCGCCGATCGCCGACCGCGCTGCTGCGCCCCCGAGGCGGCGGCCGGCTGGGCTGTGTGGCTCGTGGATTTTTAAAAATTTGACTCCGAGGAGGACCATTTCCTCTCGACATGCATCCCTCCGGATAAACCGAACATCCCTCGGTCCATCCCCCGCTCCGCGCGGTCAGAGGCAGGCGCCGGCTGCGCGAAGAGGATCCGGGTTGAAATCTGCGCCCCGGTTCTCGTCCCCGCCCCGTCCCACCGCCCCCTCCCCCTCCCGGACTCGAAATTTCCCGGGGATTATGTTTCGGAAAGGTAGGTAAGCGCCGGGCGCGGCGCCGCGTCCCGCAGCCCAGACCCGGGGAGCCAGCGAGGCGGCCAGACAGCCCCCGCGGCTTGCGGCGGAGCCGGCAGCTCGTCTCCTCCTCTGGAGGTGCTGCTGGTGGTAGGGGGGGAGAGACTTGCTCCAAACACGGACGTCCCCCAGCTCTCCCCCCCTCCCTGTTTTCCGTTAGGAACCCAGCGAGGAAATACATGCACTCGCTGAGAATCGCCCGAGCCAGAACGCTGCGCTACAAGGTGTAGGGAGACCGTGGGGTGGGGCGGCCGGCGACCCAGGAGTCCCCGTGGCCGAGCGCCCGGGCGTCGGTTCTTCATTCCTGCCCTCGGGGCGGACGGAGTGACCCCGACCCCTACTCTCCGCCCCGACCATGGTAGTGTTCAATGGCCTTCTTAAGATCAAAATCTGTGAGGCCGTGAGCTTGAAGCCCACAGCCTGGTCTCTGCGCCATGCGGTGGGACCCCGACCGCAGACTTTCCTTCTGGACCCCTACATCGCCCTCAACGTGGACGACTCGCGCATCGGCCAAACGGCCACCAAACAGAAGACCAACAGCCCGGCCTGGCACGACGAGTTCGTCACCGATGTGTGCAACGGGCGCAAGATCGAGCTGGCGGTCTTCCACGATGCCCCCATCGGCTACGACGACTTCGTGGCCAACTGCACCATCCAGTTTGAGGAGCTGCTGCAGAACGGGAGCCGCCACTTCGAGGACTGGGTGAGTCCAGCGCCTCCCGGTGCAGGAGCCGGGCTGTAGGGTTCTGGGGGGAAGACTCGTGGCCTTGGCTTTGGTCGTGGGGCGCAGGGACTGATTGCCATCTGGGATGTATGTGTCTCAGTTACCTTGGGGAAGCACAGTCCACTTCGCAGATGGAGAGAAGTGGGCAGTGGAGCAAAGAAGACTTGGAAAAAGGGTTTGGCCCCCCTGAGACAGGGGTTCCTCATGAGCTGGAAGAACCCCCGGCCGCGGATGCTGAGGGTTGCCGGAGAATCCAGTGCCTTCTGCAGGCGTGTGGTGGACTGGCTGTGTGTGATTGTGTGTGCGTGGGTTCCTCGGTCCTTGAAGAGGCACGTGGAGCCTTAGACTGAAGGCTTCTTGCATGTCCTGGCTTTGTCCTGCGTAGCCTGAAGAGGAGCTGCTTTATTTTTCCCTCCCAGAGGAAGCTAGCTTCTATTCTGTTACATGGTGCTTAGCTCATCTTCTGACATGCAGAGAAAATGTTTTCCCCTCTAGGATGTCACTCACAGGGTGCCCATAACATCAGCCCAGCTTGAGCTTGTGTTGCCCAGTGGATTGCCCACCCATCCAGAATGATGGCTGTATTTTAAAATTGGTCCTTGTGAGTAATTGGCAGTCAGTGCTTTGCATCCCACTTAAAGTTATTTTGTTTACCTGTTTTGATTTTCAAGAAACTGAGGTGTTAATTGATTGCTTTAACAAAATATTAGGGAGTTGGAAATAGGCCTTCTCTATGTGCTAGAAGCCAAATGCCTCAACCTAGGTCTGCACCCAGAGAAGCAGGGAGAAGCCACCTTTTTTTTTTTTAGCTCTTCTTGGAGGGAGGCGTTAAGTTGGGAAATGATTTCTGCATATCCAGATTCGTTACATCCACCAAAGGCAGGTGTGGCTCTGGGTGGGGGTGTGTGTGTGTGTGTGTGTGTGTGTGTGTGTGTGTGTATATATATATACACACACAAGAACTGGGGTACAGGTCAGAGGCTCAGGAGGGTGAGAGAATTCACCAGAGACAGAGCAGGGGGCAGAACAGGCAGAGGGACCAATGACACTGCTGAGGGGAGCAGGGGGCAAGGTTGGAGAGGTCTGCTGTGCCATGTAGGTTTCTCCCTGGCCGGCTGGGAATTGAACCCGCACTGCAGAGGCTGTGGGCAGCTTCACAGAGTGGTGCTCAACCTGCTGCACCACCAGGGAGGCCCAGGGTATATATATTTTCCAGCTAGTGAGAGGTAGCAGGTCCTCATGGAGATGTGTAGCCAGAATCACCTTCTAATTATTGAAAACAAATAGCTTCGTGATTGTTCTAGGGTCATGCAAATCACCTTGGCATATCACTTTTCATATTTTTTTTCAGAGCTGGAGTTTTAGGGGAAAATAGGAGCAAGCCTGTTCTCTTTCTGCTCAGGGCGTGATGTAGTCTACACGAAACCATGGTTACAGGGCTCACAGGGAGGATGCAACATACCACACCATGTACAACCCTGGGAGATTACGGCTTACTCTTTGGGAAGCAGGCAAAGTTTATGGAACCCCAAGAACACAGTGCCTTGTCATGCCCTTTCTCCAATGCGCCTTACTTCTGCCTCCCTCCCACCATGGGTTACCACTCATTGCATGTCCTTTCCACACAAGGCCATTGGTCCTTTCAATCATGAAAACAGTGCATGTCTGAGGGGGAGCTGAAGGAATAACTAATTTCAGAGCCAGACCTTAATGCTTAAAACCTGTTTGAGGTGGCTGTTGTTTTAGAACAAGAAGAGGAAGGAAAAACCATGACTGAGGTGATGAAGAGATGAGGAGTTGGGCAGTGAGGCAGAGAGCAGGTAGGATGAACATTTATAAACATTGAAAAGTAGATTTTCACTGGAGTAGAGGTGACTGAATATCTCTAGTGATGCTTTGCTGCCCCCTCCCCAACCCTGAGCACATCAAGGGTACCATCCCCACCTTTGAGCATTTCCAGTGTATTATGGGTACTAGTCTGGCTTGGTTATCATGCTTTAAGGTTCTCACATTCATATTGGACTTGACCTTAGGCCAGATCATCTGGTGCACAAGTATTACAGACAAGGACATTGAGCCCTAGAGAATTTAAATGGGTGTCCCAGGCTACATGACAAACAAGGGAGTTGGAAGTGGGTTTGCACCGCCTGTTGCCCACCCCTTGCCCAGTGAAGAACTGAGTTCCCTGACTTCCTAGTCTACCTGCAGATTCATATGTGGTGTCCCTGATGTTTTTATTGTACAAGATAAACTGTTTTTAAAATCATCATCTTTTTTGCCTTCTAGCAAGTGTGAATTAAGTATGACAGCTCTTGAACAGGTTAAAAATCTTGAAATACAAAAAGATCCAAATCATGTGATAAATCAAAAGTGGAGTTGGTTTTGTTTGCTCATCTAGTGTCATTTTCACTAGAGGATGCTGTGACTACTCTGGCTGTTCCAGAATGAGGGTGGGGACAGATTAACAGAGGTGAGTGGTCCTTGGAAGCAGTCAAAGTGCAGTTGGGCTGATTAAAGTCACCTTTTCCATTCCCATCAATTGTGGTACACACACACACACACACACACACACACACACACACTTCCCTGGGTTCTGGCCTCTGCTCTTTATCTGGCAGTGATGAAGAGATACATCCTTTCTTGGGTGTGGCTAAGAAATCTGGCCTGAAGTAAGGAGATGGGGAGGGCATGAAACAGCTGTTACGTTGCTGCAGAACACTTCATTCAACTGCACGAAGTCACACGTGCTCACTGAGTTCCTGGTTTGTGCTCAGATCCAACCAGGGATGTGTAACACTCTAATCCAGAGGGGAGAGAGACCCTAGGTTACTCTCCAGCTTCCATGTTATTAGGGAAATGATACGAGATAGCTTATAGATACTACCAGTTATGATTAGGTGCTGAGTGAGTGGCACCAGATGTTAAGAGACTTCAGAAAGGGAGAGTGCTAAGTAAGACTGCTGGAAGAATCCTGGAGGGTTCCTGGGAGGAGGCACGAACTGGGTGTGAAGTTACGGGAACTGTCCATTAGAAGTGTTTAGAGGTTGGGCCTCCCCGGTGGCGCAGTGGTTGAGCTCTGGGTTGCGAAGCTGCCCGCGGCCTCTGCGGCGCTGGTTCGATCCCCGGCTGCTCCCCGGCCACCGGAGGAGGGTCCCACATGGTGCGCAGACCTCTCCTGCCGCCCGCTGCTTCCCTCAGCAGTGTACTTCGGTCCTTCTGCCTGTTCTGCTCCCCACTCTGGCTCTGGTGAATTCTCTCACCCTCCCGCGCTTCTGACTGTACCCAGTGCTTGTATAAACAAACAAACAAACTAAATAAATAAAGCATGCCTCTATTTAAAAAAAAAAAAAAGTGTTTAGAGGGAATGGTGTCCCAAGGACAGGGACACTACTGTAGTGAGGCAGAGAGTGCCCATGGGTGGCGGGTGGAGAAATGTGGCCGAAATTGAGGGTCCCCTTTAGAAAGCACCAGGCAGGATAAGATCTTCTCAATCCAAGGTTCTTATTTGAACACTGCCTGTGCTATTCTTTACTTCATCTTTTAAAACTTTGATTCTTTTATTTTCCACTGAAGCCCCAGTATTCATGCAATCACAGGTTTGGATATTATAGTTATATATTTTTCTTTGTTCACCTTAAAATAAGCACATGGCCTCTAAAAGAAAAGGAAAAAAAGTTCATTTAAGGTTCCTCTTAAAATAGTCAGTGATACGGGGGATACATTTTAGAAACACTGGAATAGAAGAAAGTTTAGAAAACTGAAGTGGATTTCTAGAATGTTTAGAAGCCAGTCTGAGATAATTATTCTCCAGACAATGAGTGATGTGTCAGTTGTGATTGCAGTGGGGGTTGCTTAGGAGAAAGCACCTTCTGGAGAGAGGGAAAGATTTCACTTGCTCTTGAAGCAGAATCCCAACATAAACTGTTGCTTTAGGTTGGTTTTTCAAGAGCAAGGGTAGATTAACGCTGCCCAGATTTTGGTGTGCATAGGAATCACTAACAGCGGGGCTGGGTATCCTTGAGATTTTGGTCAGACTATATCTGAGAAATGCTGGGCTAGAATAGAAATTGCAGGCAGGCAAGGACTACGATAATTCATGTATTAAGATTCATGTCCTGAAATTTTATAGTAGACTTTATAATTCTCAAAGCAAGATTTATAAGCCTAATTTGCATCAAGTGGAAGTATTGGGGTTGCTGTTGGAACCAGAGGCTGGGTGTGTCGCATGTAGGACAGCGGGCGGGGGTCTTGGTAGCTGGTGGGGAGGGGAGATGGAGCCTGCAGGTTACAGCTGGCTGGTCCTGGCCCTACTCTGGAGTCTTCTAGATTGGTGGTTCAGTATGCACCACGCTGAGCTCTGTTCCCCCTAGTTCTGCCACCCCTGTCCCCCGAAGACATCTTTGGTTTATGTCACTCTCGTGTTTCATCCTGAAGAAGAGGTGCTTGCTCTTAATAAGAACCGCAATGATGAAGCATCCCCTTTGGAGGGATGAGAGCCTTTGAAGGCAGAGTCCTGGAGCCAGGCTGCTTGGGTTTGAATCCCACCCTACTAACAACCACTTTTGTGACCTTTAGTGAAGCTGTGTTTCTGTTTCTTCCTATATAAAAAGTAGGTGATAGTAAAAGCACCCACCTATCATGAAGTGGGCTGTGCTGGAATGAAAGAAGAGGAAAATCTCTGTCAATGACTGTTTTGCAAATGTGAAATAGAAACTTCTCCAGGGTATGAGACTATGTTACTTGAGAGAAATCTTTCGGAGACTAAAAAGTTGGCACCTTTGGGTACTGTGAATCAGTTAATACATTAAAGAACCCTCTCAAGGGTCATTCAGCCCCATGGTAAGCACTGGCATGAGCTCAGGCCTAATGCAAGATCAGGCCTGTTTGTCTGCCCTCTTTCTCCTTCTTGGTATCTTTGATCAGCAGCAGGTTAGTGGATATTTGAGATCCTCAGTTCCATGGTTCTTCAGTGGACCCCT